TAATAGTCTTTTGGTTGTTTCTGAACCTACCTCCCCTACCCCCACCCCCGGCAGGACAAGCTACTGTATATAAACAGAGAGCAAACCCCGTTCCATTCTAGCACTGAAGATGTTACCTAGCCAGGTAACAAAACATTTGTAAGAAAACAACCAAGCTTAGAGAATTAGCCAGTTCTAGCCAATTTTTAATGACTTCATTATGTCATGATAAGTTTCCATGGCTGAGTATTAACTTGAGCCTGGGTTTTTCTAGTCCTCATCCAACTGTGTAAACATGCTTCTTTTCTCTTCTCAGCTACTCGGAGTATCAGTTGGCATATTGGCTATTATCACCTACAATGGAAAACACTTCACTGTCATAAATTCTGCCTCTTCAGAGACAAACTCCTATTATAGAAATTTCCACAATATTGGTAAGTGTTGGGAAATTCAAGGTTCATACTACAGTGCAAAATTAAAAGTAATCTATTCAGCTGATGAGATAGGAATTTGTTCTGTTTGGTATTTATTTATTTTAAAGCTTGATCATGATCTAAATTCCTATGCTTTATGTTCCTTATATGGAAGAAATTATACAGACTATTTCAACTTTTTATCATGTTACAGGTTTCAATTGGTTTAATCATAGATTGTTCAGCTAATGAATTGTTTGGTTAATGAACAAATGATATCCCTGAGGATAAGTTTAATTAGTGGAGTTAGTTAAGATGTTAAACTTTGCCTGGGGAGACCCACATTCAGAATGCTCCCCAACTTCAGAGCACATTGAATTCCTCTGAGCCCATTACACTCTCTGAATCCAAACCTAGGTTACAGAGAAGTTGTTGTAAGGATAAAATTAAAGTGATCTTCTCATATGCTGCCTCAAGAGGAAAGGCAGGATGTGAATGCAGTAAATCCATGTGTTAAGAATTATTAAAAGAAATGGCAGTTCTAAGGAGAGGTAACTTTGCAAGACAGAATACTTGATAAAGCCACCTATAACTGAATTTTAAAATTGAAGTTAAACCATTAAAAGATTAACAGTCAACTGTAATGATTTAATCTATGGAATCATATAGAGTTGGAAGGGCCCTTTTACCCATCCAGTCCAACCTCTTACTTACAGTTATAAGGGCACTAAGCAGCAGAAAATAAAATATAATGAAATGTAGACTTGAGAATTCAATCACCCACATGCAGAGAGAATTGAGAAGAGACTCCTAATTTCTGAAACGGAGATCAAGTATTCCACATATCCTGGTGGATGTTTAGTGTTCAGGGATCTCCTCTGTTAAAGAACAAATAACACTAATTTTCCACAACTTCACTAGAAAACGAATCTAAAAAAATTCATTAATAGCCTTATTGCTTCCTCATATACTATAAGTTTATTATGTGAGCCACTGAGGTCCTAGCTCAGGACCTCAAAAACAAAACATTTTCATATAATCCCTCTATTTACTAGTAGAATTCAACTCATTAGGAATTACCTTGGAATTAAAAAGTGAAACAAAGATACAAAAGTTGCTAGCAACAAATTAGCTTTGGTTATAACACAGATAATTAAGCATATGTCAGCATCTAGCTGAACTTGGCTGATCTCAAAAACCCAGGTAGGTCAGATTTGCTTAGTCCTTGAATGGGAGACACTGTCAGGAAGTTCTAGGTCTGTAGATTAGACTGGGAAGTTGAAGAAGAAGACAGTAGCAAATCTTCCATATTTCTTCAGACTTGAGGCAGGAACCAGCATTTCCCAGATCAGAGATAGCTGTTATATCAACCTAAAATAACCACACAGTGTCAAGGCCATCAAATGCCACACTTACAAATCCATTAATTCAGAAAGGAAGAAGGCAATAATTTCATCCCCAACAAAGTTATTTACATGCTCTCACGAGCAACAGCCAATCACCTCTTGGGTATAGCTTCATTCTTGGCTACCATAAAGATTCTAATCTAGCCAAGCCATGTCTGTGAATCTTTTACCAAGCCTAGCTAAGGAGACAGGCTAAGCCCTAAAATGTCAGGAGATCTGTAATTTACTACCAAGTCCTGGTCAGAGGACTCTGACGATGTTATTGCCAAGAAAAAAATATGGGCGTGACTTTACTTACTCTGATGTAGTTACTCTGATGCATAACTATCCTAACTGCTGCAGGATAGTTATCACAGAATTGCAGACACCTTAATACGACAGAGTTTGGATACTTTTTCCTGTATTACCTCCATTCTACAGTTTTCTACGTCGGGATATGTCTGAGCATCATTCTGGCCATGGCTGCTCTGATGAGCATTGTCGCCACAATAAAAGAATTGGAGGGCGCTATGGCAACTGTAAGTAGGCTCAGTAGTTGAATAATTTAAACATCGGTTAGAAATGCTGGACAGACCTTTCTAAAAGCCATTCTTGAAATATTTTTGTATTTAAAATGGGAATGACTTCCCAGGAAGGTTCTGAATCCCACAAGTGATTCCATCTTGGGGTACTTTCTTGAAATTATTATAAATATCATGATATATTAGAAAGTGCCTATGTCTGACATCTTGTACAATCTATATTGCAAAAGAAAATAATACACATGAAAATATATGTTAAAATCAATGTAATGCAACAGAAAGACATAACTGAATTAATATGGGAAGATTTTTTTTTCTTCCTCAGTGTTCCAAATCTAAATTATCTAAAACAAAATCTTATCTAACCTCATACGTTATTAGAAATTTACATACTGGGCGCTAAAAATAGCTTCCTTACTGTTAGCTTACATTTTGCTTACAATAATGCTTTCCTGTATGTGATAAACTTGAGATGATAAATTAGATTTCTGAGACTTGACTGTGTAAAGATTGTCCTTCAAGTTAAACGAATAGTCTCCAGTTCTGTTTCATAATGCCTTGTTTTTAGAATTTGCCCAGATTTTCTGAACCAAATTCTTCAGTTTCACTCATTGGTTCCACATATATATTATTTTTTCATTGTACTCTAAACTAGCCGTACCCTTTATAAGTATAGTATTATCACAACCAATGTGACTGATTGAAATGTTATCAATAACATTAGATAACTTGGGAAATGCTTGTTATATATTTTCACACAAGGTTAATCTGATATCAACTTTATATTTAGGATCAACTAGACAGCCCTGTGACCCGTTGGATCATTCTTTAAGAGAAAGGTAGTGCAGTCTGATGTGACCAGAATGAACATTAAATTGTAGGCTGACCAATCACGGATGCAGCATGCAGGAATGCCATGTCGTCTACAACGCTCCCAAAGGGCTCCTAGCCCAACAAACTATCAATCTTTTTTTTTTTTTATGGCTAAAATCTCATACTTCATCAAATTGCATGTGATTTCTATTTCTGCCTTAAATTTCATGAGATTGGGTGTGCAAGTATCCAGCCAGAGATCAGGTGAGAATACCACAATCTCATGGGAATTCATGCAAGAATGATGAAATCTTATGAGATTTGATGTTTTGGTGAGATTCTGGCATTTAAACACACTTCATTTATTTTTGGCACCCATGTTATCACTCAAAATCACATGATGGCTAAGGACTTGGACATATTGTGTCCAGTCCCAAGCATCATGTTTTAAGAAGAATTTGGAAAAATTAGAAAGCATTCAGAGAAGGATCAGGGGACTAGGAATTAAGACCAGTAAAGAGAGACTGAAGGAGCTGAGTATGGTTAGCTCTTAGACAAGACAACGGAAGGGGCCAAGAATATGTTCAACTACCTGAAAGAATGTTACTGGGAAGCAGGTCAAGGCCTATTCTCTCTCATTCCCAAAGTGCAGAACACACCCCCACACCCCCACACACACAACAATTGATTTAAGATGCAGGAAAGCAGACTACTATTGAATGTTAGAGAAAACTTCCTAACGATAAGAGCAATTGGCATTGGAATCAGTTACCCTGAGAGGTGGGAGATTCACCTTCATTGGATGCATTCAAGTAGCAGCTAAACAGTAATTTTTCTGGAATGATTTAATGTGGATTCCTGCACTGAGCAGATGGTTGGGCCTGATAACCTAAACGGCCTTTTCCAATTCTATGATTCTTTACTACAACAATATTAAATCCTTCCATAGCAACAGCAACAGGTTCTGGTTGGATTCAAGCATTCTTATCATGCATTGATGCCTATTTTTCTGGAAGCCATCTTAAACACTGGACTACATAGTACAGTTATTGTGTAGCTGTTTTTGGAAAATGGCTACCTATATAATTCATAAGGAGACATTAAAGCTCATGTAATGAAGAGTGAGTTGCAAATAAATGCACATGTTAGTATTACAAAGCAAGCAGTCGCAGCTTACAAGTAGGTATGCTAGTGTCACTTTTGTGTATGCCAGCTTTAACACAAGAATCAATGGGCTAAATGATCTCAAGAACGTGAATTTTGAGTATGGAACAATATTAAATTCAATATATTCCAGTCACTATGAAAAAGTAAGGAACAATATTCTATTCTAATGAGCTGCAGTACTGGTAGAACTGAACTGTGCTTGGGACTTTTTTTTTCCTGTCAGGGGATTAGTTAGTGGATTCTGTATCCAGTCTGAGGACTGGTAATTATAATTATGACTGCTAAAAGCTTCTTGCAAAAGAAAGGTAAACATCTCTGTTTAGCTATCTTTGTATGCACACCAAAAGTGTTTGCTACAGTATATGTACCAAAGAAAAATTAATCACATGCAAACATACACATACTGAATTTCCTACTGAATCCTATGATTCTGGCGAGCTAACGTGCATGTGCTTGGAACTGATAGCCTTCCTAGCAACGGCCACAGTTTTTTTTTTTTTGGTAATAATTTTATTAAAGTTTACAAATACAAAGATAAAGGAGTAATACAAACTAAGAGAAATATAAAAAATGAGGAAAAGAAAAAGTACAAAGAGAGAGAAAGAGAAGAAAAAACACAAGGAGAAAAGAAAAAAATATAAAAGCAACTCCCCCTCCCTCCAAACAAGTAGAAACAACTCTCATAACTTAAGACTTTCTCTAGTATTTCAATAATAATAAAAAAAATCTCTTTTTCCCATAACTCATCTCTTACCAATAAACAAATTATAAAAAATCATCATTCAGTTCTGTTCAGCAAAACTCTATTAAGAGCTACCAGAAATTATATATGTGTGTGTGTGTGTGTGTGTGT